TGGTATCCGCGGAAAATTAAACATTTGGATACAAGATTTTCTATCCGACAGATACTTCAGGGTTCGTGTTGGGGAAGACCACTCATTAGATAAGCCAGTCAAGAGTGGAGTTCCACAAGGATCAGTACTTGGACCGCTACTTTTTTGTGTCTACACTAGTGATCTTCCGCTCATTGTATCCAGTAAGGTTTCCATTTACGCTGATGACACTAAGTTATATGTGAATCCAACTATTAACCAACATATTCTTCAACAAGATCTTGACGCAATATTCAAATGGTCCTCAGAATGGTTACTTCCGCTTAACATTGAAAAATGCGTTGTTTTACATATCGGCAAAAATAACCCATCACTTCCGTACTTTATTAATGGACATCCTTTAAACTCTGTAACCTCACACAACGATCTCGGAGTGATAATTAATAGTGACTTAAATTGGTCTGATCACATAGTGTCGGTGTGTAAACGTGCTAACTCGAAACTGTTTTTGATTCGTAAGTGTTTTGCACGCATATCTCTAACCTCTTTTAGTAAACTTTACTCAATATACGTTAGACCTATTCTTGAGTTTGCCGGACCAGTGTGGAATCCAGATCTTAGTCGCGATAAAATTCTACTTGAAAATGTTCAGCGTAAAGCCACAAGACTGGCATATGGCCGTGTAAGACCTAACTATGAAGATAGACTATTCATGGCTCATCTTACGACATTCGAGCAGCGACGTCTTCGAGGTGACCTAATTATGTCCTTCCGTATTTTAAAACATAATTTTGGGAACCTAAACAACATATTTACTTTGAATGAAGACGATAGATTAAGAGGCCATCAATACAAATTAAAGAGGGAACAAACTACTGCAAGGTCCAGGGCGAACTTCTTGCCAAACAGAATCTTTAATATATGGAACAATTTGGAACAAAACACCATATCGGCAGCTAGTGTTAACATCTTTAAAAATAAACTTGACAGCACTTTATTTTTTTTTATAGGATAGGATATTTTTTCTCGGACAGCATTATTTATTTATTTATTGTGTCACAATTCAATTTTCGTTAATTGTTTAACTACTTAACTTTATAATTAGTATTAGTTTTATAAGGATCTAGAAAGTATCCTGCAAACCGAAGCTGAATTTTAAGTTTTTACGGCATTTTTATTTCTTCACTTGAAAATATAAAATTTTAACTAAATCAATTCATTCATTTACTTATTCAACTCCCATTTACTTCTAAGCAACTTAACTCAACGGCCAGGTACTCCCATAACTAGGTCAAGGCCATCTTTTTCTGTAATGGTTGTTTCAGGCCTGTAAAAACTGACTCGAATGTTCCCCAACCTTCTTTATCTCGTGGCGCCTGCGTCGCTCCACTTTCACTCTTCATCAGTTCCCCATATCTGTTTTCACAGGGGGCTCGGAGCTGGAGATGCTTGTGGCCACGGAATTAGTTGCTAATTCGATGTTCTTCTTGCATCCACGATCTGAGTATCCGCAGACGTATGGCATCTTGCATTATCTCCATGCTGGCACACGCCACCCCTCTGGATATAAAACATAAGCGTTTCAAGGGGAAGTACCAACCCATTGTAGGGATGTCACCAATATTTTCGCACTATCACCAGTTACCATTAATTGTATACAGAGGGGGGGGGGGAAATAAAAAAGGGGGGTGTAGCATCCACGCTGAGTTTATTGCTCTAAAACCTTCTTTTAGTGGGGGGGGGAAATTTGGACAATTGAACGGTGACATTTTCTCTTGATCGGACTTTTAGATGATTTGCACCCAAGCATGGGGATAACAGCTTTCATGAGATATAAAGCAATATCTTAAAATTTATCTTCTCGCAAACGTTGACAACCAATCTCATTCTTCATTGTCTTTGCCGAGGTGTCTTGTAGGGATTTTTTTTGGATTCCTTGATATGTAGCCTTGCTTTTTTAGGGACATGCGGGACAGTTTCTGGGCACACTTTTATTCTTCGGTTGATGTTCCAAAATCTATGTTCGCTAATTTTCGAACCATAGGCGCGGATTTGGTCGTCTAACAATAAATAAAAAAAAAAAAAAAAATTAAAGCATTTATTTTAATTGTTTTCGCGAATCTTAACGCGGTCTACCCGTAACTGGTCATATGTCTCATATCTATGCCATTTTTTTATCCTCTTTATTGTTCATACACTGCACTTTTTCCGATTCAGTCAATTGCACTAATTTTTTAACGTTTCGGATGCCCTTTCTGTACAAATATTCCACCACTTTTCTTTTTCTACTTGCGACATTATTTCACAAATCTTAAGTCTGTTTACAAACAACAATATTTGACAGATGGTGTTGTCATGCGATACTGTCATAACCTACTATCGGCAACTAATGATGCATAACTATTGTCTTAAAATGTTACAAAAAGGAAATCTATTAAAATTATAAAAAATATAAAATTCCGGATACTTTCTAGACGGACTATATATCAACTCTACGTTAAAATCTTTATTAGAGAGTAGGTATATTATACAGACACTAATTATATATATAAAAAAAGAAGATTTAGTTTTTTAGACAGATATAGGTTAAGTAGAATGTAGAATGTGGTAGAACACTGGTAAAGGGATATTTCAACATTGTACAATTTAATTTAGCGAATAAAGCTTGGAAGAACGGTAAATGGTGTATTATTAAATGTAGAATTATAGACAACAAATCTAAAAGAAGTTTCAACCAGCAATGATATCTTCTTAACTACTATTGCCGATGACACGGAAATATTAGCAGTGAATATTGACCCTAATGTAGCAAAAGTACAAAATTATTTAGTCCAATTACAAAACTGGCTTACGCGATGGAAGATCACTGTTAATGCGAGCAAATCAATACAAATTACTTTTACGACAAGAAAATCTACATGTCCAAGTTTATATTAATAATACTCATATTCCTATAACACCACTTGGGATTGCATCTGGATGAAAAACTTCCATGGACAACGCACATTAAAACTAAACAGAAACAACTAGATCTTAAACTAAAAATATGAAATATTAACTGTCTATTTAACAAAAGGTCTCAGTTATCTCTTGAAAATAAACTGCTTCTGTACAAATCTATACTTATACACCAATCCAAAATACTCCGTATGATAAGTAAAGCTCCATGGTATGTATCTCTATCTAACCAAACACTTTGCAATGATCTGGACATCCCATTACTTAAGGACAAAGAAAGAAAGGATTACTCAATAAAATATAAAAATCGCACAACTGATCACAACAACGAACTGATAAATAATTTATTCACCCACTTGCCGAAAGAAGATTGAAGAGAGCATAGCTAGAAGACCTACCGCAATAATACTTTAAGAACGGCCACTGCTTCTGTACAAAGTTATACTTCGCAATGATCTGGACAGTACCTAACTCACGTTCATTTACTTACAGATTATTTACTTATTACTCTGTGTATAGAGTAGATTGTAAACATGCAATGTAACAATAAAAAATATTATTAAAAAAAATATAAACAGATTGAATTATTAGGTATAATTATTATTGAATTTCTTTATTTCTAGATTCATATTTTGAAAATAATAGGCCCAATCGATTAAAATCAGAAATTTTTAAAAAGCTATTTTAGAACCTCATAAAATCATAAAGTCATCATCATCATCATTTTGGCTTTACAACCCTGTGTGGGTCCTAGCCTGCCCAAGAATTCTCTTCCAGTCGTCCCTATCCATCGCCTTCCTCCGCCAAGCACGTATTTCCATATTTCTCATATCTTGGTCTAAAATGATAAAGTATTAAATGTTAATAAAAAATAAAACGTAGAATAGCAATGACTAAAACTACTTTTATGAAAATGAAGTCATTCCTTTGCAACAATCATCTCAGTTTAGAACTAGACAAAGAATGTTTAAGTGCTATGTTTGGTCCGTACTTTTGTATAGTACAGAAGTGTAGGCGCTAAAAGTATCGATCATGAATAAAATTGAAGCACTGGAAATGTAGATTCATAGGTTATATTAGGTTCAATATTCATACGTTAAATATCGAAAAACGTCTTATCTGGGACATATAGTGAGGGGAAGTCGATATAAAATATTACAATACTGATCTTTAAAATCAAAATAGAGGGTTGTAGACGTGTAGAAAGGAAACAGGTTTCTAGTTTTAGCGGGATAATTATTCCATATTGCAGAAGATCGAGAAACCTTCGCAATGGTGATCGCCAACGTCGGAGAATTCTGATATGGCACGCGAAGACGAAGATTAAATGTTTTTTAAGCAGATATTGGGGGCTTTACAGAGGTATCATAAGACAACTTTTTATATAAGATTCTAGACTATTTTTTATGTTTATTACAAATATTTAAAAAATTAAATCCATAGATAAATATGATTAAATCTATATATAATTAATTAAATAAAATATAGATGCAATTATAATTGAAACTTATCAAGTTTTAGATAAACGCTTTTTTACATACATTTTGACAAAAAAATGTAAAAACTTTTATAGGAACGCGAATTTTACTTTTAGCTAAAGAAGTCAGTTCTGTGGCACTTCTTAAGTGTTTAAACAATGAAACTGATATTTTAAACGTATATTTTCTTGACAATATTAGTTCTATCCAACTAAACTTTAATTTACAAAAGATTCCAAGAACTAATTTCATATGATTTACTTGTACTTGTATTGAAATTTTATTTGATCGAGCTATTATAATATCCTCCTATTACTTGAATGAGATCCTTAAATTTGTTTAGATATATACACAGTAGATTATATACATTGTACAATTATAATATACTATAATGAACAATATTATATTTAGCATCGTCTATATTCCCGGCCATTAGCCATCTTCAGTAATAGGCAACGAAGTAACTAGATGTCTGCATTAAATGTTGCCTATACTACGATTTAATTAATAAGTATTTATTATGCAGCAAGGACTACACGCGATTGTTTAAATGGTAGTAGTCACGGTAAGGAATTTTACCGAATCGATTCCAGTCGACGTTTAGAGCATGTTACCATTGATAGCGAAATTTAAAGTTGTGAGCGCAGGTAAATAAAACCTATAGTAAGATTAAGCCACGTATTTGTTTAAATATTACTATCATTTTCTTATCTATTTTATCTGTCACCTGTACACATATTGTTTCGTTTATTGCAGGAATTATTAGTTAATGGTTTTAAAAGTTGACAAGTGCGGACATCAGGTAGATTTTTAAACGAAAGTAAAAGTGATACTGCTAAACCAGTTTATTAACATTTAAAAAATTATATCAAAATGAATCTCAGTTGCGGTTCAAGGACTATAAAATACCTTATTTTTACTTTCAATTTTTTTTTCGTGGTAAGTAGCTATTTTTTAATTATTTTGTAGAAGAAATATACAAGTAAAAATATTTACAGAATGAACTGCTGATAGACTTGGTTTTGTTATGTAAACATTATTACCGGAATAACCTTGCGGAAAATGTTTAACAGTCTAAAATCGGATATTTACTGTAAAAAGAGATGTAACAAAAATATGTTATCTAAAAAGTAGTAATTTTATAAAGTAGATAATGCTTGCGAAATAAACTTTAAGGATTTGGAAAATGTTGGATTTTTATATTAAGATGTAAGACATCTAGTATGATGTCCTCTAAAACGATATAAGTACATACATAAAATATTATTATATTATATTAAAATATTTTATCATACAATCGTGGATTTAATAAAATGCAGTTTGTCAAAAATATTAAATTTATAGGTAAATATATACAGATAATATTTTATATACCTACACCGAACTGAATCTAAATATTTTCAATTTGACAAATATTTAGTATCTACATTGCTAGATTTACAATGATGTAGGTATACTTGAATATATTCTGAAAAAATTGCTAACAGTTCTATCACAGAATACTAATCACAAAGTTGTGATTAGTATTCTGTGGTTCTATAATAAAATACTCGGTGCTTTATTTAAAACAAAGTTTTTTATTTATTTGATATGCTCAAATAATACAAGCAATTTTGGTTTGTACGTTTGGTCCAAACCAAATATAAGTAAACAACAATTTACATTAAGTGTAATTTTGTCTGTATATTTTCTGGAATATCCTGTTATTACCGGTTTTTAGCTTTCTTTATTATCTTTATTGGTACCAGTGGTCGGTCCACTTTAAAAAACCAGCATTGAGTGTTTATACACACAAGCTTCTAAAGTTCAATGTGAGTCTGGCATAATATGAACAATAGGTGCCTTAAAGCAGTAAATACGAGAACTAAAGCGTTATTGAAAATTATTTGCTTTTATTATATTTTTGTTTGTCTATGCTCTATGCGGACCAAACTTCCGTTATGGTTTCTGATTGGAAGATTTTGCAGGATAGTTTTCTTATTAGTTTTTTGTAGCTTTCCAAACTGAATAATCAATGTACTTACTTTTTAGTAGCAATTTCGCTATGGTACCCTTTAGTTTCGTAATTTACGAGTTTTATTTGGTGATTCAAGATTTTTTCAATATACAAAATTGTGTATTAGTTGCCAGATAAGTCATATTATTATTTTCCTGTTTGATCTCTTATTACTATTGGATGTTTGTTGTGTCTTTGGTTTTGTGGTAACAGAACAACTTTTTATTATATAATTTTATGATTTCACAACCACAAATTCTCATATCTTTAAATACTCTATTGTTCTAAAGCTATTTTCTTGTGGCATTTTAAAGTAATTACTATTTAAATCGGAATAATCAAAATACAAACATTAGTACTTAAATTAAACAAATTTTAATTACTATTTAACTGGGAATAAGCCACAATTAAAGATAAAAATACGTTTATTGACGTTTCAATTTCCACTTCGGAAATCGTTCTCAAAATACAAACGATTTGTATTTTGAGAACGATTTCCGAAGTGGAAATTGAAACGTCAATAAACGTATTTTTATCTTTAATTGTGGCTTATTCCCAGTTAAATAGTAATTAATTTACAATGCCACAAGAAAAATAGCTTCAGAACAGTATAAACAAATTTTGTTTTTTTCTGAGAAGACTTTTGGAAGATAGTTCATTCTCAGTTCTATCGTCAGTAATCAGATCCTACTACATTCTGCCGAGGAATTTGCGAATGTAGGAGCTGGTTACCCATATTAAAGAGGAAGTTTAAAAGGAAAATACCAGTATTATTAAGTATGTCACATCAAGGATGCATCATTTATGTTTTTTAAATAACAAACATATAAAATCAGAATTTGGTCTTTATTGAAAGTAAACTAAATGTAAGACCAATGTCATGTTGGGATAGTATTATGAGGTTTTTTCCTGGTTTTTCCCTCATGATTTACTATGGAATCACTAACAGGAGAATTTTACTGTCATCATGTCATGTGTTTGTCTTTTTAAAGACGAATTACATGCTATGGTTTTTCTGACAGATATTCTCAATTTCATGTAATCGAATGAATTATCTTACAAGTAAAGTCGTCCTAGGAACGCAACTCTATTGGCAATATCATTTTAAAGTCGTCTACTTTAAAATGTATAGTGTATGTCTGAATTGTCAATATAAAATTTATAATGAGTCAGATAAAATTAAATTATTAGAAGAATTTTTCACCAAGTAACAAAAAAAAATTTTGTTTAATTTACTAATATTGGTATTTTGAGAACAATTTTCAAGTGGAAATTGAAACGTCAATAAACTTACTTTAACCTTTAATTGTGGCTTATTCCTATTTAAATAGTAATTACGTTAAATACTATAATTAAGAATGAACGTGTTGGTAAAACATTATTACATATTGTTAACAATTTATGTATTTTCCAATTACCTTAAGCCATTGTGTCTATTGCTTCATCCTACTCGTCAGAAGTTTTCAACTAGTAATTTTTCTAGCTCTATTCTCAAACAAGTTAATTTTTTACTTTATTTGGTATTAGGAAGTATATTAGTGAATATCCCAAATATACGAAATTTAAATAATATCACTCTTAAAGTTATTATCGATAATAATTTCTTTTGAAATAAGAGAAAAATACACAGTATGTTAATAAATAAAAATCTAAAGTATAAAATTGCAATGTTTAGATACATTATTTCGAAATAATTATTTTTACATCTTACCAGAAACTCTTCAAATAAATATGTAACTAATATTTATCATGAGATAATAGATAATCAGAGAGAATGATCTACAGATAGCGCATCAGAAAACTGAGGTGTTAGTTCTCAAAAGGACCCGGGAAAGATCCTCTCTTCGTTTTATAGTGGAGGGTTGTGGAGGTTGCACCGGTTAAATCATTTAAATATCTGGGAGTCTGGTTGTCGGAAGGTCTAAGGTTCGGAGTACACATCCAAAAGACAGTAGAGAAGGCAAACCGAAATCTGGAAGCGTTGATACGGTTGATGCCAAACATTGGAGGTCCAGGAAGCAACAAAAGAAAGGTGCTAAATGGAGTTTTCCAGTCGGTAGTAACCTACGCTGCCCCTGTGTGGTGTAGTGTACTAAACACTCCGAAATACGCTAAGCTGATGGAGACTTCGCAAAGGCGAATGCTCCTCAGTGTGTCTAGTGCATATAGGACAGTCTCGAATGAGGCTCTATATGTCATTGGAGCGGTGATACCGATCGTTTTTTGTTGTGTAAAGAGCGGGCGAGGATGTATACGAGGAGGATGGATGTAAATATACATGAGAATGAAAGAGAAAGAACGATAGTAGAGTGGCAGGGAGAATGGGCGAATGATAGTGGAAAGGCAAGGTGGACGAAGCAGTCTTATTCCCGATCTGAGACCGTGGTGGGAATGTAAGTTCAGGAAACTAGACTACTTCCTGACGAAATTTGTGACCGGACATGGTTGTTTTGGCACCTTCACAAATAGAATAGGTAAATCTGCCTCGGCAGACTGTACTGTTTGTGCGGTACCGGATGCTCCCGCCCACATTTTTAACTGCCAGAGATGGGCAAATGAGATGGGAGATTTCAAAAGGGGAATGGGTTACGAGCTGGATGAAAGAAATATTGTAAACATAATGTTGAGAGGAGAGAAAGAATGGAGAGAAGTACACTGTCTGATTTCTGGGTGATGAAGAAAAAGGAACAGAGGACAGAGGAAGAAATTAAGCCAGGGATCTAAAAATGTATAGTTAATATTGTTTATTAGTTTATGGTCTAACGTCTAAACATTTTCTGACTTACGGTAATAGGTATGGTTATATATAAATTTTTAGTTGTTTACTGAGCGGCAAGACCACCTCTCTTAAACGGTGGTTAAGGTTTTAGCCGGAACACGGTTAATCCGGCACTACTCTAGGGTCTTCTGGCTTAGTATCCCACTCGGCCGAAAGATACCAGGGCGTCTTGTTCCGTGACGTAGAGGTCCAAAAAAGATTTCCCCGCCGTTGCCTGTCAGAATCCAATGGATACCTTCTTAGGCTCTTACTGGAATCTGGCAATACGGCAATTAAAAAAAAATATTTATCCTGAACAAGGATCCCTGAACAGAAACAAAAAAAACTACGAATTAGAAGAAGAAAATTATTCAAGCATATCTCCAAGCATACCACGTATTAAGAGGATAAAATTTTAAAAACTTATACGAATTACCAAAGCTTACATACGATACTCATGGGAGATTTCAACGAGAAAATTGGATCACAATTTGAAGAAACTGAACTACAGAGAAGAATTAAATTATGGGGTTAAACATGCGATAATTAAAGTCCTAGTAAACTTCGCAGAAAGCAACAAATACTATGCTATGAAAACATTTTATAAGAGCCGAAAGAAAAATAGGCATGGCTATCCCCAGATGAAAATACCGCGTACTAAATATACTATATATATTTAGTAATTCTTTTGTCCGTTGACTCTCGAATGAGTATAGTGAAATCATGTATCGATCACTCAGATCTTGGATTTTCATCGTTGAGAAGTTTCTACTAGACCATGGACCTGTAGTTTGATCCTCCCAGCATGTCGTTTGGCATTGATTTAATCCTCCATGATAAGTTTTTCTAGGCCGTCTGTTCTTCGCCCTATGTGTCCGAAGTATCTAAGGGCATTGGTTTATTGACAGTCTTGTGTTGAATGTTGATATTTGCTACATGTTTCTTTTAAACCCAGATTTGGAGGCACCTATTATTTTTTTTGGATTGGCGACCTTTAACATCCCATATCTCAGATGTATATGTATGTAGCAATAGAAAATATTAATGTGTAGTAGTAGTAGTAGTAGTTTTACCTTACTTTGTCGCGATATTGTTGAGTCCCTCTATATACGAGTTAGTTTTTATAGTAACCTTACTGTATACAATTTGTATTTGATTTCTTTGTCATAGCCTCCTTTGTATGTA